AGTTAAAGTGGAATCAAAGCTGCAGGCTTAAGCAGCTTTAAAATGCATAGATAAAGCTAAGGGAAATAATTCTTCCCAAGAAAGTCACTAGGTGTTCCACCCTTTACTCCTCACACCTCTTAATCTTCATTCTCTTTCACGTTGTGGGCAAAGGTAGTATTGTACCAAGTAGATAAAAAAAGAATATTATTATATTATATTATATTACTGACAGTAAAAAAAGCTAAACACACAGGTGTTTAGTACATAAATCAATGTTTTTTGTTCCACTATAAGATTACTAATAACCAAAACTTTTAAGTGTGATTAAATGAACTTATGCTATACTCCTAACACATTCTGCATATTGTCAGGTTTTGTTTCTTAACATTTCCAAACTTTTGTTTGATATGAAAATGGTTGCAAAATACTTTGAAAGAATTTCCTACCATGCTAATTAGTTGAAGTCTGCTGTAAGTTTATACGGGGGAAATAATATTAAAAAGCATTTTTTCAAATAGACAAAGAAAAGAATGTAAAGCTAAGAGATACTTATAGCACTATTTACAAGTCCATTACTAAATTCACATTTGTGCTTTATTAAAAAAAACTTCAACATTAAAATTATTTTTAAGCAACCGAGTAATCCTATGTTTCGCTAAAAAATAAAATTACAAATAAATTGTGCTTTTAAAATATTCAGCTCTGGTGGAAAATGTAGCGTTTCAGAAGAGGTAGGGACCTGAATAAAAGCACAAAAGGAAACAAAAATCCAGGTGTGTTCCCAGTAAAAAAGCTTTTCCTTGGCAAGGTACCAAAGTTTCAAGGAAGTATCTTCCAGCACCTATACAAAATCAGTTTTTGAAAAATTATATGAAGGCATTAATATGTCATTGAAAGCTGCCCACTTAGCTGGAGTAAAATTTTTCACTAAAAGTTATTACCAGCAAAATTACAGGAACTAAAATAGTTGATTATTCTGGAACCCCAGCAAAAGTTAAGTTTGACAGTTGGCTTTTGCTTGCTTTGTACACATTAAAAATATGGCTCTGCAGTTCTGTTTGTGTCTTTATAGCTGATCATAATGTCTACACATGTCACATCTTCTTGATTCTTTCAAAAAAGCATTTTCAATGCGTAGTTTTTCTGTCTCCTGTAAAATAACAAAAAAACAAACAGGGGTATTAAGAAAATTATACTCCTTTCATATTTCTAAATGATAGCTACACTTGTTCAAGTGTTCTGTACACTATGTACTCAAGGAAAGGAAACAAGGTGATTCTTGTCTGAGACAGTTTCCATCCTGAAAGCCTAGCTCTGTTCTATGTCAGGCCATTACTTCATCTGTACTTGACCCTGCAACTCACCTCCGTAAGTTTAGCATGATCTTTCTTCAGTTTCACAAGGTACTGAATCTTCTGGTTTAGATTTTGATGACCGAGTAATTTCCCATTCTCCTCTGCAAGAGAGTCAACTTGCTTCCTCAGCAAGTCCATTTCCTGTAATGAATAAATACATTTTGTACCTCTTAACCATAGCCCCTCCTTCTCTTTTCAGAAGAAATACCTTCTTTAGAACTATTCACATACTAACATGTAAGTTTGTCACATATGATGCAAGAGTTGGTTCATTCAGGAAATACATATTATCTTACATCTCCTTAGGTACTACATTAGGTCCCTCTAAAGGGCAAAAAAAAGCACCGTTTGATTTGTATTGTGAATTGCAACAGAGATGTCTGTACCCAGAGTTCCTCGAGTACAGGAAACAGTGCTAAGAATATAACTAAACTGCAAGGCAAAACATTTTCAGAGGCAGTGTTTCATACCTAAGGAATTCAGAATATTGTCCAACTAGCAACAGCTCTACCTCTACTGAATGAGATTCTAAAGACAACAAAACAAAAAATCTACATATGTGACCTTTCCAATTCTGTCTCTCTCTTCATACGTTTCCTCCAGTTTTGATCTTATTTCTTCTTTTTCATTAAATGCTTTCAGCTCCAAAGCTCTTGTTCGTTCCATCTCCAGAGTAATTTCAAGACAAATATCCTCTTTGATTTTGAGGGTATTTTTGGTCTTTTCTAATCTGCCAATACAAAAGAATCATAAAATATTAAAAAACCACCATAAATGGCATACAACTGAATTACTAAGTCAGCCTTGGAAATGGAGGCAGGCTCCTTTAAAAGTAGCCTTTTGAGACAACATATTTTCCCTAGAACGCATTGCTAAGAGAAGGAAAAATGTCATTCTGCTTCACAGCTCTACAGTATGTAAAAGAATTCAAACCAGATAATTTTAAATGATTCAATGTGTCCCTTACAATTTAAGTTTTTCTGTGGTTCCACCTATTTCAGAGTATTTTCCTGATATAATGCTACCCTTTTAGAAAATGTAGTAATAGGTACTACTACCACCTACTGATGAGAAAGAGGAAGAACTCAATGTGCCTTGCAGAAGTGTAAACATTTCCAAATAACATCTTTTATAGTTTCAGATCTTGAACTTCTCTTGCTTAAACTCATGAATATAAAAAGGTATATTTAATACAAGTCTCCAGTTAAATGAATAGTATTAAACTTACTCTGCTTTGATTTTCAGCATCTCCTCCATTGCTTTATTCTGTAAGAGTTCAGATTATTAGTAACAGTCGTAACGTTTAGCATACATACATATAAATATATACACACAAATTTATTTGTCACTTAACTGATGCTAAGTATCTGATTCTGGATCTTACCAAAATTACCAGTAATTCACACCTCTAACATTCACTATAAGTTCATCTCTTTGCTATATGGATGCATTTCCAATTTCATGCCAGCACAAATGACCCACAGCCAAGACAGAAACCTTAAGAGATCAGTATCAGGCTCTGCATCTGTTAGAATTCACTAGAAATCAGTGTTTGCTTCACTGCCATGAAAAAGAAGAAAACATTTTAATACCTCATAGCAGGGAAGTAGCAACTGACTGCTACATGAAAAGGGTAATGTACCTTGGCCAGTCGTTCTTCAGCAATCTCCTCCTCTTTTTCTTTGAGGTACTGAACATCAGGATGTTTCTGATCACTAGGAAATCCAAGAATGAGGCAAGTTTCTCACACAGTAAAGCAGTTGTAAAAACAACATCTTGCCCAGATTAAACCAGCAAATGTGTGCAATTGTCCTGACACATGTTCATACCCAGAGTACTGAACATCACGAAACAACTCTGAAAGGGTTTAAACGTCTATATTCCTAGAATATCACATTTTTCTTTGTTAGAGTACAGAGAAACTATTTTAATGAAAACAATTAAAAATTTAGTAACTTTATCTTAATTGCTTCAAGTTAAGAAAGGTTTTTGTTTATTTTACTTTACCTGCTCTTGCTTAGTTTCTGAGCTTCTACAAGGCTCTGTAAATTCCTGTTGTTCTCCACCAATATTTGCATTTCCAGACGCAAGTCCTCCAGCTCCTTTAATTGTTCCTAAGCAAGTGAAATTAGAAACATTTTATTTGAAGACCAAATGGCAATTCCTGTGTTCATTTCCAATTCAACGTGTTTTTGAGTCAAATAGAAGACAAAACTATTCCTCAGAGAACAAGCACTGTTCTCTGTCAAAGATCTGCATCACCCTTCCAGAGTAAGTCAGAACAGTTTCATCAGCAAAAATGACGTTTTAATTTAATATTCATGCACAGGAAGCAACTCAGTCCTTGGGAAAACTAGATATATGGACATCTCAAGCAAGTTGTCACCATTTGTTACCAGCCGAGGTAAAGGGAAGACCGAGAACTGCCTTCCTGCTTTAATGGACAGGCTACTAAGCAGAGCTCATTAAAAATCTGAACTCTGTATTCTGTCTTATTTTAACCTTACAAATCATAGTACCTTTAGCCTTAGAATTTCTTCATTTTTAGCTCTTCGTTCTTCATTCAGTTCATGTACAAGGTGCTCTAGATTTATTGCAGAAGCCCTCCGATCCGCTATTTCTTGCTCATGAGTTTCCAAGAGCTTTGCCAAATTCACATCAAAATTAGGGGGAGTTTTTGGACACTGCCAAGTTAAAAGAAACAAAACCCACAAACTATTAGTAATGAACTGTTTCCTCTATACATTGGTTAGATGTTTTAATACTTAATTGGAGACATGTCAATAAATTCCTGGCAGACAAATCATCAATAATACATTTAAGTTACAAACAATGCGAATTGAATTTGAACATTCTCGATACATTGTAATTTCTGGTCCCAGCCTGAAGCTGTGCTGTAAAATTTATTAGTCCTTTTCAAGGAGTTTGAACAGTCATTACAATGAAAATATTTATCTCAAATACCATACCTGGGGAAATGTTACAGAAGATGCGTCCACAAAGCAATCTATTTGCTTCATTTTTAGTTCATATTCATTCTTCCTCTTCTCCAGTTCTTCTGTCATTTTGCCCAGCTATTAGAAACCCCAATTAGAATTAAATTAGCTCATAATACACACAAAATAAAGAAAACAGCAACCAGATCTCTATTTTGAGCAAGCTAAAGTACACCACAAGTTATTTTATTTACCTTAGACTTCACTTTCATAATTGTTTTCTACATTTACCTTGTAACTAATAGTCATTCAATAGTTACATGTAACAAGGATTTTTTGAAAGCATACATACACTATATACTGTATACTGCACACTTAATCTGAATTTTTTTCTTGTTCTTGGTATTTAATTTTTTTGCCTTGCTAACACAGCCTACCTTTCAAAGGACTTTCTAGCACAAAAAAAGTATTATGAACTTTGTTGGCAAACATTACTGGTCAAAACATGATTTCATAGAAAGATTTTACTGGTATTTAATCAGTTTCCTCAAAGAAAAATACGCTAACATGACAAAAGGACTCTTGTTTCCAAAATAACTTATCCTTATTAGACTTTTTACCAATACAAGTGTATTACACTTAGCACTACGACAGTTGTGACAACTAGAGCTAAAATTTGGACAAAGGCTTAACATCACTATTTGGTCTGCAACAAGAGCTCAAGAATTTTCTCCATTATATAATGATAATTTGTGGATAAGTGTTAAGCAGTATAACCTGGGGGATTATTTTTTCCTCTGCTTATAACCTCAGGTTGCTTTGTTATTCTAGGTATTGATAATTTTACTCTGCTTTCAGAGTAAAAGTTTTTGTTATCTCTAGACACCATTTCCAAAGTATTTACAAGTTATCTAGCCTTTGTTCAGAAGCTTTGGAACTACTACTTTGCTTTTACAGAAAGGAGCATTGCTCTTCCCTAAGAATACTGAGTACAAGATGCTCTAAACTTACAAGTAAAACCTTTTCCAGAAACTACAATTAACCACACCTCCCTGACAAGGAGCTAATTATCAGAAAAAATTCTGTGTTTTACCTGTTCCCTGAGTTCCTGGATTAGAGCTTCTTTCTTTTTTATGTCTTCCTGTGCACACTGAAGCAATGAATCATGTTTTTTAGAGGCCTCTGTCAGTCTTATCAGCTGATCAGTCGTATGATGCAACTCTTCACACAGAAGGTCTCTCTATTTTAAGTCATTGGATGAGTAAAAAAAGAAATGTTAAAGTTATTACTCTAAAGCAGTTGTTTCAAGATGTTTTGTCATTGTTGCTAAGACTGCTAATAGCTACAAGCATCTCCATTTTCCCTCCACTTTTTCATCATGAATTGCAGCACGCATTCACCTATAAATTTCTTATTTTAGCACTTTTTCTATATCCGCTGTCCTGGTTGCAGAACAAAAATTAGAACTTTCCTAGAGTATAGTTAGATACTTGTGGGAGATATTTGGAATCAGCCACTGATTTAAAGCATTACGTATACTTAAAAAGAGATACAATTCTTTGAATAAGACAACAGAAAAGAATGTATAGATGTTAATCGATGAATTAGTGTCTACAGTGCACTACTATTCTGTAGGTACCTCTGGATTTATTCTAGGATCTAGATTCCCACCCCATCTGATAGCGCATCAATACCTACACGAAGTGTTTTAACTGCAAAGGAAAAACAGTACTTAATATTTTAAATGCCACCTTGGATTAGTTCTTCTTGTCCAGTAAGAAAGCATAAAGGAAATTGTTAAAAAAAACCAAACCAACCCCAAAACCAGAGAGTGATCCATTTGACAGCCAACACAGTTTAGGATTCCAGAATGTCAAATTTAGATATGATTATTAATGAAGATAGTCTGTTTATCAAACATAGTGGAAATCTGTTTAAGAATTTCTTTTGAGAAGCAAACACTACTTTGGAAGACTTTCTCGGTGCTATATGATCGAGCTAAGCAAATTTAATATGAAAGATGATCTCTTAGAAATTACTTGTAAGGAGAGGCTGCTGGTTTTGACTGATGGGCATGTTCACCAAAATAACGGTGAGAGCAGTAACAGGAAAGACAAAGAATTTAAAAAGCAAAACTGTAGTTGAATCAACCATGCATCCTAAACCTGTTTCCAGCAGGTGGAGCTTTTAGTTAAAATTATGAGTAAAGAAAAGATGTTGCTGAATATAGTAGCAGTGGGGGAAGAGATAATATTAAACATAACACATTCTTCTACCCATTTTAATTTCTCAGCTGCATCATCTAATATTGCCATTAAATTCAGCTGACGACTCCTTAGTGGCCTTAGCAAAATTAAACCAGGCTTTTAGCATAGGTTTTTATGAAGTAGCTTATAAAATATTTATGTCAAGTGATGTGATAATTTAACAGAATTTGTCAGGTGTCTCATGAAAAATTCCTTTAAGAACAGCTTAACTAGCTTTAGTTTGAACTAAAGATGAGGTTAAGTTTTACACAAGCATTTTAAGCAAAACCACATCCAATTGGTCTGTTGAACTAATAATCATAATATACCAACATTAATGATCTTACCTCAATGTTATCAGCTATTTGTCTTCTCTCCAAGGCTTCCCTCAGTTCTTCAATCTTCTTTTCCTGATCCTCTATGATTCCTTTGCTTTCTTCTTTTGCAGCCAGAACATGATTATACTTGCACTACAAAAAGAATTAAATTGAATTTTAGAACATTTTAGGAAAACATGCTATCAAAGAAAGTTGGTAAACATAATACAAACAAATGTATATCACAAATCTTATGATAACAACTACAAATGTTTAAAATCTCAGTGTCAATGACTAAAACCAGAAGGATATGATACTTGCTAAATTGTACAAACTATATTATTAGAAATGACTTGTCAGAACAATGGAAAAAGATTAGTAGTTTAATATGTATTAGCCACCACATATTAACCACTAAAACCATTATTGAAAAAAATTGATAACCATATGTAGAAATCTGTCTCGTCAATATTTTGTCTGTAGAACCTTTTGAATTCATAGTTCATACATACACAGTATCTAAAGCATTCTATGGGTTGCTCTATCAGTTTGCAAACCAGATCTATTTTAATAAAGAGGATGCATCATATTCATAGTTATTCAAATACATAGTTTTAGTTCTTTATATGTATTTTTTCAGATGTAGAACACAGTAATAACAGCAAGAAAAAAAAATCACTCCCTCAAAAATGAATTTACAATTCAGCTTCAATTGTTCAGATCTTAAATTGCCAATTTCTGAGAAAATCTAAATGTGACTGTCAGCTGAATGTAGTTTACAGGATGTGAATAACTCCCTTTAGAGACACTGCTCTTTACCCACCACGTGGAAAGAGTTCAGTTTTCAAGACAGCCTTAGGCATAAAATGTTCTGAAGATTTCAACATGTCAAAACAAAGAAGTTTCCTTCTAAAACGCTACAGCAAGTTACACTCTGAGACCCATGATAAGACATGTCATTGCTTTCCATTTCTGAAAAACTATACCATGTCCTTCAAAATGACAGAACATACATTTATATCCTTGAGCTCTCTTGTCAGCCCATCTATGGACTCAGTTTTATGATTTACTGAAGACCTCAGCTCCTGGATCTGTCTCATCAAGTCAGTTACAACTTCCTGCAACATAAAAAAAGTTAATCCTGATGCATTATATATTTTATTACTGGACTTTCTTTGGTGTACAGTTTGTCAATCCCAAATTTCGAACAGCTATTTGAAAATGAGGCCTCAAACACAAGTAAAGGAATAGGGAATTTATTAAATCATTAGCTTTTGTTCTAAGCGCTTAAATAAAAAATTAAATAACCCGTGTTCGTTACAAGACTAGCCCTCTGATTTAGTCTCAGGCTGTAACATCTTTCTAATAGGAGAACAGAGTACTATAGTTTAAGGTTGCATTTGTTTGTAATGGAAAAGGGCATGTTCAAGAAACACCACTGCACTGACCATACCAGATTATTCTAACCTTGTACATGTCCAATTTTTGGTTTTAGCCTGGAAAAAGCAAGACTTATCAATGCATCATGCTGGATAATAAACACTATGTGATTTCTTATGCCTGTTTTACATACAGCATAAACACTTGTGCTATGGGAACTTTCGCTACTGAAGCTTTCATAACACCTGAACAGTCTTTTCATGTAGAAGTGCCTTGGTTTTATCAATAAAGATACCCACAGTCACATTCTCACATTAACTTTCTTACCTTCTCTATTAGCCCATTACGACATGACACTGACTGGAAGCCCTATTGATCATCAGGGGAATCATGCATCATTTATGCATTGAATGGTTTGTCCAGTAGGGAGATTTACCTTGATTTTTGTTTATTTAACCTTCAGTTACGTTGTGTTTTCTCTGAATGCATACCAGTTTCCTACTATCCTGCAAACTCCATGCCAGTAAAAGGTAGGATTTATTTTACCTAGACATGCTGCCAGGATTGCCTAGAATCACAGAATTATTAAGCACAGAAAGGCTCTAGGCTTCCAACTCTACTGCAAGAACATAGTTACCTGCAAAACTGGGTATCAGTAACAGAAATAAGCCCAAACCTTATCTGCATCATTTGTCTTCTTCAAAGAAACAATAAGCTCTTCAGCAGCAGCCAACTCCTGTTCCAATTTCTGCAGTTTTGCTTCCTAGAAGAAATAATTGTGAAGGAGAGACTTAATTACTTCTGAAGTATGTTTTGTAAAGCACAAAGCTATGGAAAAAAATATGGAAGGAATGAAGTTGTTTATCTTACCAGAAAAACTAAGTAGTAGCTTAACAAAAAAAATCTGAAACTTGAGAACTCTATATTTATATTGCTGGCAATCTGGAGAACAGCCAGTTCACAAAAAGATTGCTAGTAAGGCACAAGGAAATCCATGAACACACGATTTAGTCATTCAGTTCTGCTGTTGTACCTGTGGCTCACATCGTGTCACCATTTCCGAGGATGGTTTCTTCACCTGTGCTTTCTCAAGCACTTTCAAGAGCTCTCTGGAGAAGAGAACATATTTCTAGTGAAGAAATATAATCAGAACATAGGAGAGCTTTAACAAGAATTAAGTCATACAAATTTATTCTTATTTGCACTTAATTTTTTTTAAGAGTTCTTTAACTATCACCTTCTCAGTGGTATATAAAAGACTAATAGTTTGGTTACTAGCCATACACTGCTACCAGTAGTGGAACTTCATCTTTGACATGAAGAACTATATGTGTAATGAAATTACATTGGTCATGTTAATTAAAGAACAACACTTCATGTTAATGTCTAAGTTGGATCAAATAAAAAAGCCCATTATGTAATTATCTCCACCCACCTGGGGAAAAACAACTCTACAAATAGGATCCCCATTTGAATACAAAACCTAGCACAGGACAAAACCAATGAAGTCAGATGAAAACAAACCCCACCACTAATTAAAACTTACTTCGAATTGTTTTCTTTGTCTTCCTGCAATTGTAATGTTAGTTTTTCATTATGTTCTTTTTCTGTTTTCAGGAGTTTCAGGAGGTTCTAGAATATGAAAATATATGCTGTTGTAACAAGTTATATTATAACGTCTTTAGACTAATTTAAACCAAAATAAAAAAATCTAAACAAACTCCTAAGATGACTGAAAAACCAACCCAGAAAACCTTAGAGGGAAAGATTTAGCTTTGTCCTAGACAAGTTCAAAAGTAAACTCTTATTTATATTAAGCAAACAGCTCTTCTCACCTGCCATTGATAAGGATTTCGTATAGCTATGATGTTCCTCAATATCAAAGGCTTTAAAGAGAGAAATTACAATTTTGAACTGTAGGTTAATTTATGGGGATTTTTCAAATTCCAGACAGCACTTCAAGCTATTTGACTATAAGGTATTTAAAAAAATATTTTTCAATCTGTCAGTATGGCTTTAAACACTAAAGAGGAAAACTTACAGCAAACTTGCTGAGCAGGCAGTAGTGGTACACTGCAGTAAAGCAGGCAAAATAATTTGCAAAAGCCCTTGAGCAACCTTACTGCTGTTTTGCAGTCACTGCAGTCTGACAAGCTTTCAAGGACAACATCAACTAAACTGCAGGACAGTGATCCACCACAAAGGCATAGATAATTTTAACAAGATTACATTCACTATGAAAATTCTTAGGAAACTCTTTTCTAAAGATAGACTAAGTCAGCTAGTGCTAGCTAGCACTGAGATGAAAGGTCACCAACACTTCAATGTCAGGATTCTTTTCCAAAGAAATTTCTTATTCCTTTGCTAATTAACCCATCTCCCTCAACATTTCCAGAACAACGTCTTCAGCCAAAAAAATCTGCTACTTCATCATGCTATTGGAGATTTCTTGTAGCCTGTGATCGCAAAAATCCTGCACTAAGTTTTAAGAGAGATTCTGGGTACGTCTTCCAGATGAGATCACCAGGAAACCCATTATTACTGTGGAATCTATTATCAATGATACAGTAACAGGAGTTAGACAATGTGACTACGTGAATAACGGTATAATAAAGTCCTTTAAAAGCCTTGACTGTCTTACACAAAGCTCAGTTTTCATTGCTTCTGCTTCTTGTTTTCTGTCCTCAAGTTGTTGTTTCAGTTGATCTGTCTCAAACTTTGCTACTTCCTGTAAATTGTCATAGTCATCCTGCAGGCTTGCTTTTTCTTCAAGAATCTTTTCATGTTCTAGCCTGTATAAAAAAACCAAACCCACCCACAATATTAAGATAAGGGTTTAGTGCATTATAAAAATACTCCAATCAATTGTATTTCATAATCTTCAGATAATACGCAGAGTACAGTTATTTTAGAAGGAAGTGACCAACATAAATGCTGACTTTTTTAAACTCAGAAACCTCAAGTTTATGAAGGGTACAAGAAATTTAAGTGGCATTGGCAGAGAAGTCAAAGGACTCTGATCCCTACAAACAATTTACTTCTTAGAAAATTCTACAGAAATTTCAGTCACTGTGTCTTGATAATGGCGTCCACCCACTTTTTAAATTTTTTTTTTTTTAGCCAGTTGTTGGACAAAAGACTGATAGAGTGATCCTTAGTACTTACATATGCTTAGTTGATATCTGGGTTATTTATCCCATATAAAAATCTTTATTCTGGGCAAGTCCAGGTTATTTCCCTCTAAATTGTTACCCCAAAAACTTATTTAATTTGATCTTTCACGAAAGTGAAAAGCAAAGAGGGGTAAAAGAGCTGCTAGACAAGTGTTATAAATCATTTTATTAGTGGAGAGACTATAGAAAGAACACCCTCCAAAAAGTCAGTACTCCTGCTAACACAGAAGGCATCAACAAAACCACAACATTTAGTTTCAGTTCCAGGTTCCCAGTCTCACAACACATCACTCAGGAAGTGACGAAATGACTTCAGCTAAGCCATGACCTGCTGTAATGCAATAACATAGTTAAGCTTTCCAGGAAAAAAAACCCACAAAACCAAAACCCAACAATAGCTAGGCTGCACTAATGGCTAAAAATCTCACTGATTTTCATCTCACAATAATAATGCCAATTATTGCAGACAACATAGGGAGCATTTCAGGCTTCAGTAGCCAAGCTTCAGTTTATTTTTATGGTTTCTTTCTGCTTGTATTTTGAGAGCAGCATCATTATGTCACCTGCTTCATGTGCCTGGACTGAGAACTAACAGTTAATTTTTAAGACTAAATTGGAAAGAAAAACCCAAACAAAGTATGCCTCTTCAGCTACTTAACTTCTGGACATCAATAAGCTTATAGGTATATCATACTTCATGGGAAAATGCTATAGGAAACCAAAATTAAGAAAGCCACATTTTCTTTTCTTTCTGCTAATTTCACTGTGTTCCTCCTCATGGCTCTGAAATAAGCATAGAAAGAATTGGGGTGGGGGGGGGGAAGCAAAGGACATAAACACAAATTAACAACTTTAAATAAGAGATGTGAAGTCCAAGTTCACATGCAGAAAAGAACTAAATCACTAGATGCATCCAGATGGGAGGTTAAGGCATTTTACTAAACTGCCAACATACCTGACACTGTCCAGCTGGAACTGCACATCCATATGTCTATCAGAAAGCTGACTCATTTCTTTCTCTTGCTTTTCCCTAAAAGCACTATATTCCAATTTTACAGCAGACAGCTCCTTGTCTGCAGACTGCAGGACAATGCGTAAATCATAGACTTCACTTTTTAATACTGTCAAAAACCAAACAAATATTTTACGTGTTATTTGGAAAACTGCTAGATATAGGAGACATAACACTACAGAACATCCAGGGAAAGTGTCACCAAACTTTGGAATTAACCTTGAAGGTCACACACAATAAGGATTTGTAAATGGAAAAGGTCAATGAAACATTGACTTTAAGAACTAAAGAGTACAGGCAGAATCAAAAACATTCTTGACGATATCACTGCATTTCCATAGACCAATGTAAGATTATCCCTTTACTTTTAGTTAATATTTGCTTTATAAAATACTGTATCCTGTACTCCCTTCATATTCATAGTGAACACAGAACAATTTTCAATGTTGTATACTGTGCAAAGAAAAGCTACTCCAAGTATTAGAGATTTTTTTTTCCTTAAAAAAAAAAATCAAACCAGTATGACTAACATCTTCAAGCCAAACAGTTACTCAGCATGTGCTATTGTTGATTCAAAACATTAAGACACCTCAAAACTTCATATGGAATTTCAGTGTTACATAGACTTACTATCAGCCTTGCTTTGACTGTCTTGAAGTTGCTTTTCAAGCAGTTTTATCTGTTCAAGGAGCTCCTGGCGCTCTTTACTCCAGCCATTCCTTTCAGATGAAAGAAGCTTGAGAAGAGAAGTAAGTTTTTTTAAATGGAAAGAAATGTAGGAGTGGCTAAGTTCACAGAGCTGTAGCAATAATAATGTATTAGCACATTTCATCAGCTGATTAGAAACACAAGATGCATTTTTCTTTATATTTGATGTTTGGTGAATCTGAAATCCATAGAAGTCCAAGAAAAAAAAAAAACAATATAACTGAATATGTTGCCATATCTAAAAAGTTAATTTAAAAGCAACCCACACCTTAGGAGCTGAGATCTACTTCAGAGCTATCAGAAAGGAGACTGATCTGGGAAGAAAACAAGGCCTTACTTCCTTTTCCATGTTAAATCAAACCTAGTGATTAAAGAAGACTTGCAAATATTTTATACATTGAGGACATTTTTGTTCAGTTCCAACTGAGGCAAGTAGTATTTCCAGCATTCCAAAGTTTAAAGTTTTCTTGTGACTATTGCTGTTTTCCAGAAATCATGAAGGTGGCCATAGTGAAGCAATGACATGTTGAATATCTGTTTGTATTTAAGATCAAGCAGGCTTAGAATCAATATTCAAAACAAAAACAAAAAGCCCCAAACCCTGCAGTGTTATGTTAAGTAAAGTCTTCCTGCATAGCCCTGAGCTATGATACTATGTAAATTTCTCAAAAGTCAAAATGAAGTAACACTGCAGATGTCACAAGACAACACAGTAGTATGAGTGTGGTAGATATCACCTGGTCATATATATACACACTCACATATAGCCCTGTATTATATTGTTTTCTCACCTCCTGGATTTGTGCAGAATGATGTTCCAGTTTATTAATATGCTGCTGGAGTTTTATGTTCTTGCTTTCCTCTTCATCCAGCTTTGTCTGCATTGTGCTCAGTTGCTCCTGTGACACAACAGACACTCAAAATTAGAACACCCATCCTCCAGTTATTCTCACATGCCATATGGCAGTCTGTGCATATTAAATATAAAAACGTCAACTACTTTTTTTATGACCTGAACCAACAGAAAACAGAACATTCAAAAATACGCTGGTATCTTAAGTAGCAGATTTCTCCTATTGCTAACTAAACAGCAGAACACAAGAAAAACCGTCAGGGAATACAAGGACTGAATCCGACTCACACTTAGTTTTCAGACACATATTTATCTTGGAGAAATAAGACTTTCACAGAATCACAGAATGTTAGAG